GTGGCGGTGGCGGCGGCGGCGGCGAAGACGACGACGGTGACGATATTAAAACCCGTGAACAATGTTCCACTCTGTATTTGCCTGTAGAATTCGTCCCAAATTCGATGATATTCGAATGCGCGGAATTGTGCGACACTTCAATGCTCGAGTCCTTTTCCAAACTTCCTTCGTTCAATAATGTTACGCTATTGTTGTTGTCTTGCTGCAAATGTTACAACATATAACGGTGAATCTATAAGCAGCGTACACGAACCGGTACTCGTTCAAGGACAAACCTGAATTTTTCTGCCAGGTCGGGGAGTTTTACCGCGGCCAACATCTTCTACCAACCCTCCACTGTACGCGTCGAAAGTGTACGCGACCGATCGTTCGATCTTCGGCATCATCTCCTCTGTGAGCCCATGTACTTTCTTATAATGGAATTGTAAGCACTGCTTCGTGGTAAAAGCCGCCTTACAGCTATTTTCTTTACACCTGAAACGAATCGCGCGTTTCAGAGCGCATACGAAAATCCGTCGACACGGAAAGTCAAGTGTACGCCGTGTCGGTCTTACTTGAACGGTTTTACCCCGCTGTGCGTTAACATGTGTATCTTCAAGTTACTCTTATTCTGAAACATTTTGCCGCATCTGTCGCAAGTCGCAGCACCAACTACATCCTTATGGTGAACTTCTTTCATGTGACGTTGAAGAGCGGCACGAGAACCCAACAGTTTCAAACAAAGTTTACACTGAAACTCTCGAAGGACCTCGGACATGTCTAAATGTAACACGTTATTGACAACATTGCCCCGTCAGATGTGATTGCCAATTTCCTACTTACCACTATGCATTCGTTTAATGTGTACTTTAAGCTTTTGCGGTTGACAAAATTTACGTCCACAAAAGTCGCACAGAGGTCTCGAACGCTGAGGATTCTGCGCACAGCCATACGTTCGATGCATCTCGAGATAATTTAACCGTAAAAAGAACTTCTTGCAGTATTGACATTGATACGCTCCTCGACCCGCGTGCAACTCAGCCGCGTGTTTCATGATGTTGTCCTTGCCTAAAACAGCAGCTCCGCATACCTAAAAGAGCGACGGTAAGTATGCCATATTATATGTAAATATTTCATTGTTCCGCGAAACAGTGCGAGAGACACAGAAAATCAGAGTGAAAGACAAGATGCGTAGCCGGAAGCACAACTCCGTAACCAATGAACCGCACCTACCTTACAATGATACTTTCTTATCGTCAGACTGTAGTTAGTGTCGTGGAAGATGCAACAGTGCAGACGATAATATATCGGATGCGAAAAGCTTAAATTGCAACCCCCGCAATCTAGACATAGGAAAAAGAATGAGCGTTTCATTTAATCGATATTCGAACGTTTTATCTTTTTCTTCACAACATTCACCATCGATGCTGATATTGACAAAGATGATACCATACTCGTTTTGTCTACTTTATTTTTTCTTGTCCAAGCTGAAGATTGCGAATCCGCCCAGTACGTTAGCTCCATTCCCGACACGATATTCTGAGTAGTAACTAGATGCAATTCTCCTTGCTTCGTAATTACAGCCACGCTTCTTTCTTCTTTTGTCTCTGCTGGTCTGATATAACGAATCCAATTACTTTGCAGTGGATTGGTGGTGCTTATGTAACAAGTTTTACCATTGTTATCTACCTAACGAAAAATAAGACTCACCTTTTCATTGAAAAGAATTCTATTCTATAACAGTTACAACAATGATAATTATATATCTGAATAAAACTAATAATGTCACGTCGATTTTACCTCCCAAATATGTCTCATAGAAAAATCATCGGGAATGTCCATTTCCCTGACTGGCAGCCCCACAAGAGGACCCAGTTTCACATACATCGGGACTGAATTTTTCGCATATATTCCAAGTCCATGATCCGAGTTGGTGATTTTTAATTCCAAACAATCGGGCAAAGAGTCTCTAGCGTACAATGGTCGATCGTTATCCACGGTCAATCGTTTCTCTTCTTTCTGAGCTTTCGCTTTCCTTTTACAATGGTCTGCCGAGGGTGAATCATCGTCCGACTCGACGTTATCCTCGGCCACTTGCCTGTATCCATCGGACATTGGGTCGTCGTACTTGATAGATTTGAATATTTCACCGTTTTCTCTGTACCTGTTTAACCAATCTTCGAGCGATATGGAATCCGGAATCGCGTACTGCGGCGTTATCAAAGGACAAGCATCCTGTAAGTGTCGATTATTGCATTCTTGGCAAAGTTTTATTTTGATCGCTAATCTTTGCGGTTCGGACATTAAATGATCAAAGTTCCCCTCGTTTTGCGGCTTTGGCGCTTCGATCACCGACACATCGTTTATTAGAGAGCAAGCGTCTTTATCGTTCCGCGCAACTATTCCATCTTGCGGTGCTTTCCGTACATCGTAATGCTTGCGATTCCTATGCTCACCGGTGTATTTGTGCCTTTTCTTTTTATGTTTATGCACAGAATCTTCTGGAAAATCCTCCGACGAATCTTCCTTCGTGTTCTCATCTTCGTCCTCGTGCGTATCATACTTTAACCGTTTTCGTCTTTTCTTCAATTTTCGAAGGTCCGTTTCGTTTGTCAAGCCTACGCTTAAGGTAGCCGAATCATCGACTACGTTATCATTGTTACCGAGACCAGCACAATGGAAGCTGCTCGAAACGTTTTTATCTTTCTCGAACGTTTCAGGTTGCACCGCAGAACTGGCGATCAGTGTATCTATGACTTTGTCCGCGAGCGATTCACTGAAATTACTTTTACCAGCAGACGTTACAGAACTATTTGATTTTCTTGTTTCTTTATTTGTATCGACAGATGCAACGTTCTCCGCATTCGCATCTTCTATGTCGGAATAAAGGATGTTTCTATCTGTACTTACATTATCTATAAATTCTACGTTACCTACGTGTTCAGTCTTTGTTGCGATAGGTTCAATTTCTCTAGCTTCGACGCAAAACTTATTTTCCAAATTTGACTTGACTTCGTATTTCTGCAGTAGCCTAGATCTACTGTCCTTGGCGGGAAGTTGTTCTTCCTCCTCCAATGTTATATCCTTCAATGGTGGTTTTTCAGTTTCTAAGGATACAATTACATCGACCGTTTTCAAATGACGTTTCTTCTTTCGTTTGTCTTTACGATGTTTAACTTTATTCTTATGATATTTGGACTTTGAATCGCACGTCGCGTACGTTTCCAACTGTTTCGGTACCCTGGCAGGTTCCGTGTCCACGGAGGTCTCGTGCTCCGTGATAATACCACTGCCTTGTTTCCTCAAGCTTCGACGAACAGACTCTCCTGAATTTTCTACCGGAGCATTGTTCGAAGCCGTTTGTATTTTGTCTTTCTTGACTCGTTCTGTTTCTCTTTTCCCTTCGTTGTTCCATTTACCGCTGTGTCTATCAATTACAAAAGCAAGCGTATACATTGAAAAGGTAAAGACAAGAACAACTGTAACGTAGCGAAAAGCAAAGAAGAACATTAAAATAATATTATCAATGATAAACGTTGAGATAATGTACAAAATGACAATAAAAACTCGAAAGTAAACGTCAAGCGACAAATACTATAATTCAATGATAAGCATGGAAAAGAAGTTCGTTTACCCAAATACAGTCCACACTTGCAGCTTAACCTTTCTTTTGTTTTCGTTTGGTCCATAATGAAATACAAGATTGATCATATAAACGAAATCGCTTACCGCTTATTGTGCTTTTAACAAATAAAAGATTCGATCGATTGCTTCGATATGCAACGCAAAGCCCGCAAGATGGCGATTCAAGTAAGTTCAGTAGAGTAGAGGGGAAGCCCCATCATTGAGTGATAAGAAACGGTTGATGTGCTGGTTAAAACTGTTTTCGTAGCACGAATAAAATGCCGGTAATAAGCTGAATGTTATTCAACTGAACGTACAAAAGAAAGTAGAAAAACTATGTCTATTCTAATTAGAGAAGCAGTTTCTTCGGAACGTACCTGTTTGTGGACTCTGCCAAATCCAGCAAATAAACAGCAACATCTTCATCCGTTGACAGACCTAAACGTTTTTTAAGAGACAGCCAACGCTTTCCGTTGGTAGGACCGATGCGGACGCTGCGAAAGTGTCTGGTTTCCGGTTCCGACGCAACGTCGGGATTATTAGTTCGATGACGAGAATTTTTCGTTAACTCCAACTCTCTTGCATGTCTCGTATTTTTCTTCGGCATCACTACATCATAGATCTGCTGGTATTAAAGCGGCGAACTTGAAGATATCCGCGGAGGTCGCGCACCGATATTATCCTATCCTCTTTACGCTCACCGCCTAACCACCACCGCCCACTCCACCCGTTCCACCCACCCTCGCCACTTTCTACTCACCACCCCGAACCACTCGCACCCACCACGCGCGTCATCTACTTCCCTTCTTCTGCTCGTTCGTTATTCTCCTTTCCTTTTCCGTACCCCACGCACCCCGTCAACGTGGTCATCCTCTTTTATCGATCCTGCAGTCTGCGCTTCATCGTTGTGTATCCACCTACGTACGGTTATGACTCTATATACGAGTACTCGTGTATTTATATAGGTATTTATTTATGTATACATGCATATGCATATGCATATACATACATATATATATATATATACGCACGATATAGCTGAGTGGATACAGACCACTTGGCTATGTATTACGATTTGTAACGTATCATCAATTACCAAAGTGTAAAGTTTGCTTCCGAGCATAGGAATCGAAAAATATTTCATTTACGTTATCGATGTAATGCCATGCTGAGAAACGGGTAAACAATGAACGCCTACTTTGGTGATGCAAATTACAGTCACATACTCGTTCACGGTAATTTTCTACACCTTTTACTCGATAATCTTATTTGTTTCGTGTGATTTAGCTTTTCCGTAAAAAGCGAAGAAATGATGCTTTATCAGGAACAAAGATACGCTTATGTCGATATCGTTGGTTGTGCGAATCGATTGCGTCGATACTTTTATATCGATTCTTCGTATCGACTACAATCGATTCGATGACTCGATATCGCATAAATATCTCGATAAATATCGAGGTAGTAAAATCAATGAGAATATCGTCGGCGAAACGTGTGCAACTTCAGAAACGTAAGTTTTCGCAATCGTCCGAAAGTTGAGCGTGAGTAGGTCGAAAGTTGAGTTACGTTAGCTGCGAACGTGGGTTACTAGAGCAAGAAATGTCACGAAGAACCATCAAGACGATAAATTGGGCAGCTCTAGCCGAGCGATGTGTAGACTCTGAAAAGAATGCATTGGCTGCATTCAAAGCTAAATCGGATCAGTATCTACGACGGTTGGTAAAAGTCGTCAAAACAAATTCATTGTTATATAACATCTTCGAATGTACGCGTTAAGTATTACCGTTAGTAATCCAACTAATTAATCACAGACCATATTTTCAATATTTTTCCTTACTTTCCTTTTTTGCGTGAACTAATCAAATTTTCGGTTACTTTGATTTAAACAACGATTCCGATGTTAAGTGATTACAATTACAAGTAAGATGTCATAACCTCGTTAAAGTTCATTTTAATGATTTTACTAGATATATTTCGAAAATAATTGTGCTTCAAGGAACTGCTTTATATATTTTACAGCATGACAGCTAACCCAGAATCACCACCAAAAATTGATTGGGCCTATTACAGAAAAACCATTACCACTCCTGGTTTAGTAGATAAGTTTCAGAAAGAGTACGAAGCATTGTCGATACCGTTTCCAGCTGACAAATATACAACAGACATCGATGCCGAAGAGAAAATAGCGGTAAATAATTTACATTTAAAACGTTCCAACGGTATAATTTAACTACGCAATAGTAATACTATGTCCTATATTATAGTTGCAAGAAGTTGACAAATTCGTGCAAACTGCGGATCAAGAGATTGAGAAAATGAGAAAAGAAGTAGCTAGAGTTCAAAGTTTATTACCATTCGACCTCATGACGATAGAAGATTATTACATTATGTATCCAGAAAATGCTATAGATCCTGAAAAGCCTACAGTATATCCTCATGATTTATCGGACAATGGCTCCGAAGAGACTGAAAAAAGTCATTAATGATCTGTAACATATGCAAGTTTCACATAGTCTCAATGTAATGTCATTGATAATTTGTCATATTAACAACTGTTATCATCGGTGCCGTGAACTATGGATAGACGATAAATTTAAGATGATTTTAAAAGTGTCAAAATAAAAGTGCACTGTATCAAATACAAAGAAACGATTCATTATTATGCTACTCGATATGTTACCAAAGACTTTGTACACGCGATATATTTGTTATCCTTATGCAGTTCGTAAAAAGTAAGAAGCGAATGTAGCGTAGTAATAAGTGTAAAAGCATAAAATGTTTTTGTAAGAATTTATTTCATACTTTGATTATTCTCCATAGAAGACCTTTCTGTTGCAATTACAAACGAAGGCATTTTTACCTAATATTACAGGATTCTTGGAAAATTCTATGCAGTTGTTACAGCGAAATTCGATATTTTGAAATCTAATTGAATTTTTTTAGTAATTCCAGTATTTCGTCGTGGATCGCACTGAAAATCTTTCAAATATATTTGCTCGAATGAAATTAATAATCGAAACGAAGGCATTTCATTTAACATTTGCATAGTAGCTTGTCATTAAAGTTGCCAACTTCGGGAGTGTCTGACAACCAAGTAAGAAAAATGAAAAAAATGAGTGTGAAATCGATAATTGGAAAAGATGCGACTTAAATGCCACCTGGTGGTAAATGTAGAAGATGCATATAGTGGGTATAGTTGATACGTTTTATGTTTACTTATGCCTACATATAAATAAATGAGTAAGTAATTAGTCGAGTACTCGTGTAAGAAATTTTGTTGAATTTAAGATTTAAAGATGTACGTCGAAACCCGGTCCCGATCGATGTATCGCGTCGATTTCAAAGTTTTGCAAATATAAGTATAAAGCGCGCTTTTAAATCTTTCCAAAGCTCTAGAAATCCTGAGATCATGTGATTTTCTGAAACAGAATGAAAAGGGTAAATAGAGACACGACATTCCGTAAAGGCGAATTCGTAAGTAAATCGGTGCAGTGATTATAAGACGCGAGCGTTGTATGTCGCTTCGTTTAAAATTACAAAGTGTGCAGTTCAATGGATTAGATTGGACCGAGGCATAGAAGATTAATTGATGATTGATCAATGATTTCCAGCTGTTAACCAATAATTCATTTCACGCGACTGTATTGTGCAAAACGAAATATTGAAAAATAAACGTACACAAAGAAAAAGATGATAAGATTGCAGAAAAACGTGCGGCACGCGCGATTACGCTTGTACAAGTGTGGTTATGCTTGTTTCGCGCGTAGTTTCCTTTACGTTTCACGAGTATATTTACTCGACTGCGGAATCACCGATGATTCGAACTTGTAACGATTTCAGTAGTGAACTTAGTAGTGATCCAGGCCAATCGGATTTCGGAATCGATCCGAATATCTTTCAAAGGATAGTTTGCATTGGTCCAAGAATCGTTGCTTCGTCGTTTCGTGTTGCGTGCACTTGATTTCGTTGCAATGCCTACGAGTTCAAAGGGTGTAATGTAATTCCATGTAGCTATCGATAAAGCTTCTGGTTAGTTCGAGCAGGTACGAAATTATCGTATTTCACGTAAATTATCATTTCTGTGCGTGCAAATGTGAGAGCGTGACCGTGTGTAGGTACATACGTAAGCATAGTATGGGTTGCCCTCGTTAGACGACGACGATTCGTTAATGCTTGGAAGGCATGTGGCGTGTCTATTAGTTGATCCACTTTTCTAGTTTTCATTTTTCTCTTTTTCTATCTGTTTCTTTCTTTATCGTACAACGATTTCGATGAATTCGAAAGAACGAATTTGAAAAGTGTGAAGGTAATGATACAAGTTACTCGCCGTTTACCGAGAGCATGTCAACGGATAGCGTGGAGGCTACCCTTCGTAAACGATGCATAATCCGTTTCTCGTTGCGCTCGATTTTCCACACGTTTCGAGCTGGAGCCGAATTTTCAAACACGTACATGCAATTTTCCGATACTTTTTGAGAACCGTTGTCGAATAAAGCCGTACACAAATGAGTTCGCAGTGTATTTGATATTCGTCGAGCAGTCAATTCTCGAATGTAAATCGGAGTACGCTGTCGACATGATTGTGCTTATTTCGATTATTTAGATTTTGCTCGCGCAAACGATCGGTAACGAGTAGTTTCTCGAGTTTTTCCGGTTTCCCCGCTTTTCGAATCCCTCGTTGAGTCGGTGACGGACAAGATACTCGGGAAATCTATTGAAATCGAAGGATACTCCACGCGTGTCTGAAAACGCTTACTCGAAAACAAAGAATCTTCTCAAAGTTCGAATTAACGAATCTTCGAGAAATGTTTGCTCGTTTCCAATAAATTTCTCGTGATTTCAAATGAAATGTTATCGTTATCCTTCTCGCTTTCTCATCATCCAACGCTTTCTTTCTTTTAATTTATCGATACTGCATTTACGATGAATACGACACACCATTCGTATCCATTTTAGCTTCGATACCAGAGTTTATTGCTTCTTATAATATTTCTACTTTTATCTTCTTTATTGCTTATTATTCTAGATTATAGTTATTACACACGTTTAGAACATTTTGTACATGCGAAGTATAGGTTATGCAGATCGTCTGCACAGTAATGTAATGAATAGCTGTGGGAACTCTAATATTAGCACAAAGCTACGTGGTTCTAAGTGTTTGGAGGTGCAAGAAGAGTCTGTTGGCAATAATCAAGCTACAGAGTTAGATAAAGGAGACATCAATGTTTTAAGTGGTTACAATTCAAACGATTTTAATGCTCCACGTGGCACGTTGGTCATTTGTCAAAGAAATTCCAATCACTATTCGTCCGATCATAGTTTTTCCAGATTCAAACCCAGGTAACGTATATATCTCACGCGTAACGTGTACACGGTTTTCTCGCAATCCTGTCAGCTGTCGACTTGTTCTAGAATCAGTGGTGTTCCACGCAATGAGTTTCGAATGGCTCGTGGGGGCAGTTCCGGAGACCGTGCCAGAGGCGCGTTACGGGGTAGAGCTTATAAAAAGACACCCGTCGACAGAGACTCGAACTCTGAAACCAATTATTACCCCGCAACTAGACCCAAATTTCAAGAATCGTTGAAAAATCAGGAAAATTCCCAGGGAAAGTATTACGATGATAAACGAATGAATGGTCCGTATCAATAACTCTTCCAATGTTGGTAAGTTAACACGTCGAAGGAGTCCGCTTAACACATTTGTGCCGTTCGTGTCAACAGAAGACTCTAGAATTTCAAAGCTCTTGAGGAGATTGTGCCGGGAAGACGATTACGACCACTTTATCCTGCTATGCAAACAAGCGCAGGATGGTATAATAGCATCTGAAAATCAAAGATACATACGACGAAATTTGGATGTTATCTGCGAAAGTTTATTAGATATGCTACACACGGGACCCGGAGCAGAAGCGAAACAACAAATCGCAAAGTGTCTAGGTCGCGTTGGATATGCAGCTGAACAGGATTTCAAACGGTAAACGCATCGATTGGAAAGTATACGAGACGAGATCGTTCTGTTAACCGACAACGTTATCGCGACTTTCGTTTACAGATACATAGACTGGACCTTCAATAAATATTCGCTGGAACGGAAAGAGGATATAAAATGCCTTTTAATCAAATCATTCATCGAGGTGTTCAGAATGGACGCAGAGGCGCCAAGGCTAAAGGAATTTTCAGTGGTATCTGATATTTCGCGTCTCGCGTTGCTTCACGATTGCGAGTTTATTGAAAATCTGACGTGCACTTGTCGTTTTCAGCTAATGATGTCGAAATTGCAGTCAACATTGGAAAACGTCGATCGATCGGACCTACTGGTGGCAACGGTAGACGCGATATTGTTAATAATGGAATCGTATCCTGAAACGTTTTCAAATCATTTTCGCGACACAGTGGACATATTGGTTGGCTGGCATATAGATTCGACTCAACAGAAAGCGATCGCGAGTTATGCCAGTCGTAGCTTGCAAAGATTGCGAACCTTTTGGATAGCAGACTTGCAGTTCACGTTGACGTTATTAGGACAATTTTTAGAAGACATGGAAAGCTACGACGAAGAGTTGACTTTACCGGAATCTGGTAGAAGTTCACCCGGAGACGACGCGTCACCGACACCGCGAGAATGTATCCTCCGCATCACGTCTCTGATCTCCGTGTTCAATACGGTCACGAAAAGCATATCCGAACATTTGAATCCAAATGTTACACCGAACGTGCAGTGGTCGTTCCTGTCGGATTGTTTGTCGAAAATGTTGAAAACGGTCGTAAAAGCTATCGAACTGAACGACGACAAGGAAATATCGCTCTCGAGTTCTGTCCTGACAGCCGAGAACGTCGACGAGCTGGTGAAACGTGTCAGGGCGGTAAGCGGCGGCGGGGGCGGCGGTACCGTACCGCCCCGAAATTTCAACAGGCCCGAGTCAGTTGAGGAGGACATGGTCGAGATGTTCAAATCGTTCAAGTTGGACAAGAACGAGATCAAAAGCTTGAGGCTGAGCGTCGAGAGAGAAACATGGTCGAAAGAGAAACGGGAGCCGCTGTTGAACATCATACGGTGGCTGGAGTTCAAAGAAAGAAAAGAAAGTATCGATCTGACCGAGGAAAAGGAGGAGTTGATAGTCACTGCGAACGAGTGTGCTTTTCTGCTGTTGGGACAGCTTCAGAGTCGCACGACGAAGAATCACGAGCTACTCTACAAGTTTATCGATCTTCAGTTGAAAAGGATCCACATGTTTTGGGACGATACGATAATATCCATGTTGAATATCATTTCGAAAATAATCAAAGAAGTATCGGCGAACTTACCATTGGAACTGGTGCACAAGTTGCTCGGGAAAGACTCGGCATTACTAAAACTGAGATTCCGCGATTCCATCTCTATTCAGAATGCTAGCCTCCGCGTGTACCACAGTTTGTTGAGTTTGAAAAATATACCGTTGCTGCAGGAATCGTATCGATACATATTGTCCGATTTGGAGATCGCCTACAGGCTCGTGCTGCACGACATCGAGAATCTGGTTCCCGACAATCCGTTGCTCGACGGAGTCAGATACAAGAAGAAGGACTCGGAAGTCGTAATTACTTTCCTGTTGCGAGCTCTGTCCGACATAGGTAAACATTGCGAACACATCGAAGCGCGACAAAAGCTGAATTACGGGGTAATTGTAATTGTGCCTGACATTTTCAGCAAATGCGAGCAACTCGATAATCGGCATGTGGGCATTGAAGCCGAGCATTCTCGAACTATTGGCTGTCAAGTTGAGACCCTATGACAGCAGTTTGTCGGTAACTAGTCCATTTTTACAGTACAGTATTTTGTACTTGCTGTACGCTCACTGTTCCAGGTAAGATGTTGAATTCGGAACGATGTATCGTTACCATTATCGCAGTAATTACCGTTTACGTGGTTGTCGTTGCCGTCGCCCTCGCCGTCGCCATTGCTGCCACCTGACCTGCCCCTCTCTGTTCCAGATACAATCACTTTGTACCGAGCTCCAGCTTGATAACCGGAACCTCTGCTTGTCGCCCGATAGACATGTTTCCAGGTGCTTTGGACGTACCGACCACGTCTCCGACCAGTGGTCACCTTTCTATAATTCTGAATTTGATAGCTAAAAGTTACAACGAGCATACCCCGGAGCAAACCTTGCTACTCTTGTCGATGTGGATGCAAGAGATCTGTTTACAGTCGGAAAATTATATCGGCATATTGAGCAAAACCACAGAGTACCAGCAAGTCTTGGGGAGTCTCGTCACCTGCGGAGCCAGCATCGATCGCGATATCTCGATCGCTGTTTGCGAATTATTTGAAATGATGCTGAGCGCAAAGAATGTCGTATGGGGAGAACAAGTCTATTCGAGGATAGTGGATTTGGGGATGTTACATTTGACGTCACGGGAGGAAATTTTGCGAGAAAAGTATGGTTCCTTATTGACGCGCGTGCCTTTAAATATCGTGATACCAAAGCTCAATACGGAACACTTGTTATCGGAAACGAAGGTGAGTCGAAGGAGAACAGGAGGTAAAGTACACGGTTCTACTCGATATCAACTACTCGATACTACTCTCTCCACAGAGACATCAGGAGATTAAAGATTACTCGACAGAGTCGTTGGTTCTCGCTCAAAGATTGCACATGCGAGGAAACAGTAACGGAGAGATGCAGGCTCAACATTTCAAGACTTACATGGCGTTTCTGCTGCAAGAACAGTATCTGAACGCGTCCGAATTGGCCGAATTATTTACGCTATGTTGGCCGATTATGTAAGTACTCGAGTAACCGGTTCAACTGCCACACCAGGGCTAACACGCTTTACGGGTTTTCCTTAGATCCGAGAACGAAACCACCAGAAAGATGTACCAGTTGGGACTCGCGAATCGATCCTTCTTATACTTTTGGGCTGGATTCGAGGCGGCTCAGCATTGCGTGAACAACAAGCTTCGCACTTCCCTAGGAAAGCCACAGGAGACGTTCACGTCGATCGAGAGTGCTCTGAAAACATTGGCTCGCGAGATCTCGTACAACGTGGAAGTCACGAAGAAAGAGAAACGAAGTTTGGACGACCTACTGAGCGAACACAACCGTGTCCGTTTATTGATCGAGTTCCTCGAGCATCTCGAGAGAGTGATACACAACGCTTCGGAGGGATGCGCGATCGCCTTGCCATCGCTCTCGAAACCGGTCCGAACCTTCTTCCACACGAACAAGTCGACTTGCAAGGAATGGTTGAATCGCATTCGCCTGGCACTGTGCGTGGTGCTGTTGCATTCCGGGTTAGCCGGTAGCGCTTTGGGGAACAGTGAACGGCTGTTGGAGGATCTCAGCAACAACGACAACACCCATGGCATCGAATTCGAGAGGGCGACTCTTTGCACGGCTCAAGCGATGGTCATGTTGGGAGAGGCGGAGGCGTTGCAAGGCCTTTACGTTTACACTAAGGAGAAGGACCGGAAATTCCCGTGGTTGAAAGCAGCGATGGAAGAGGCTGCGGGCCACTACGAGTCCGCCGCCGAAGCGTACAAACTGATCATCGAGGAGCAAACGGCTGCCGCGAGAAAAGATTCCGAGTACAAAGGGGGGGAGGCTCCGGAGGAAGGCGAGGTTCGGGTGCTGGTCGAGGCCGAGGGGAAGATCGAGAATGAAAGTAAGAGCGCGGCCGAGGACGAGGCGGAAGATGTAGGCGAGATCGACGACACGCGCGCCGGAGGCGGAGGCGGTGGCGAGATTCTCGGTGAAAACGATGCCATCGAGGGTTTCGACGTGGACGCGGTCGACGATGGCGGCGCGGAAGCCATCTCCGTCGGAAAGGAAACCAGCGTGAAACCCGAGGGAGACAGTCAACTGTTGGCCTTCTGCATGCAACGGTTGTCCAAGTGTTACGAAGCGGTCGGCGATTGGTCCCGACTGGAAGCGTGGAAGCTTCAAGAAGCTCGACTGCTCTCGCGAGAGAAAAGAAGAAACCTGGGCAAGCAGTTACAGGCTCAGACGGACAGCGGGGATTATCGGCGAGCAAAGTGTTTGAAGATGTTCGAGGACGGCGACGCGATAAACCTCGACGACCTGACCAATTGGAATTTACTGGGGAACGACACGGAGAAACCGGGCAACTGGAGTTGCACGAGAACGTTGCTCGAATGCAACGACACGCTGATGAACATAGCGCTCAGAATTCGCGTAAACGACTACGAAGACGACTTCGAAGAGAAGGTGGAACGATGCCGAAGGGTCGCGACTAAAACCATGGAGGAGGGCCTCCGTAACGTGCCGTCGGATCACTTGAACGAGTCGATATTGATACGCTACGCGGCCAACGCGCTGAAGGGGCTGCTGTCTGGCCGGGAGGAGAACGCGGCGTTTCAACTCTACAAAACGGAGAAACTCGAGTACGGAGGCATGGACTCGCGGGTTCTCACGCGAATCCTCTGGTGGTCGGAGTACTTTGAGAAAGCGCGAGAGAAGGAGAACGCGAAGAATTCGAGAGCGAGCGAGGTGGCCGATCTACGTTTGCACATCGTTCGAACGGCCAGGAAGGAGGGAAACTTTGAGCTGGCGAAGCGCGAGCTTATCAATTACTTACGATCCGAGCAGGAGATTTGTCGAATCGAGGAAAAGAGGAGAGGAGGCGAGCACGTGGATCTGAAGTTGGATCGAATAACCGCCGAGACTTTGAGGAACGTGATGCGCGTGAAATGGTCCAAGAACAACATGCGTGCCTTTCGCGAATATTCGAAGCTGCTCTACGACATGGACTGCGTCGACAACGCGCTCAAAGTCTGTAGCGCGACCGCGCTGGGGATATCGCGAGCGATCGTCGAAGGTGAACGGTCGACCGATCTGCGAGAGAACGGAACCAGGCTTCTCCTCACCCTTGGGAAATGGATCCAACAGCAGGAGGTCGGCATCGCCGACAACCTCCAGCTGGAGGAACTGCTCGAATTCGAAGCTCTGCACAACGACGGCTTGATGAGCAAGTTGTTCGGCTCGACCACCAATTCGATACCCACCTCCGACATGACGATCGGCAGACTGATGCAGCTCGGGGTGAATCAATGTCCGGATCTGCCGATCGCCTGGTGCAGCTTCGCGAGTTGGTGCTACAAGTGGGGCAGAAAGATCGTCGACAATTCGAACGTCGCTCGCCTGACCGATTCCGACAGATTGGCCATACGGGAGCTGTTGCCGTTCCAGACGGACGAGGTCGATCTGATCGCGGTCTTCTCGATACTGAGCCAAAGCAAAACGATCCCCGAGGACGAGGGCGACATCACGGACGCGACCAACGACGTCAACACCTCCGACATGATAGAGAACCAACTGCGAAACGTGCCGATACTGAGCCTGGCCAGTCCCGATCGTCTCGCGATGTTGGTCGACGTCTGGAAGCAAGCGCAGAAGAGGATCTATTCGTACTACGAGCTCTCGGCGAACGCGTACTTCAAGTACCTGCAGCTCGCCGCGAGCAAGGAAACGAACGATTGCGACACGATCACGGCGACGCTTCGGCTGCTGCGACTGGTCGTCAAACACGCTCTCGAGTTGCAGAACGTCCTCGAGTCTGGCCTCTCCTCGACCCCGACGGCTCCGTGGAAGCAAATAATACCGCAGCTCTTCTCGAGACTCAGCCATCCGGAGGCTTACGTGCGGACTCGAGTCTCGGAGCTGTTGTGCAGAGTCGCCGAGAATTCGCCGCATCTGATCACGTTCCCCGCCGTCGTAGGCGCGGTCTCCGGCCAGAGGAAGAGCTGCGACAAGGTTCTGTACGCGAAAACGGAGAGCAATTCGGCCGAGAACGATCTGAGCTACGTCGAGGAGGAGAGAGGCGTCGAATCGATGGACCACGAGGACGAGGAGGCCGAGGAACGGGAACAGGATCAGGAGCAACGGCTGGAAGACGACCAACCGCGAGGACAGGCCACCAGGGACGAGGAGGAGGAGGAGGAGGGGGAGGAGGAAATCGCGGCGGGAGCCGACGGTTCCTCGACGATCTACCACTATCGGGACGAACACGAGAAACTGATGGACTGCTGTTTCTCGCAGTTGGTCGACTGCCTCTCCAACAGAGTCCAAGACTCCGTGGAACAGATCAAGGTGTTGGTGAAGGAGCTGCGTCGAATCACCTTACTGTGGGACGAGCTGTGGTTGGCGACGCTCTGCCAGCATCACACCGAGATCTCGAAACGGTTCGAGCAGTTGGAGATCGAGGTGCAAAAGGTGCAAGACAACGTGTGGCTGACCATCGAGGAGAAAGACGAATTGATCGCCGAGAAGCATCGGATCATACTGAAACCGGTGGTCTTCATCCTGGAGAACCTGTTCGCCATGACCTCGGTCCCGGCCGAGACTCCTCACGAGCGAAGCTTCCAAGAAAAGTTTGGTCCCTCGATCGAAGAGGCGATCGGCAAACTGACCAATCCGAAGAACCCCGCGAAACCTCAGATCGCCAGCCTCTGCTTGAAGCAGTTGGAAAACAAGTTGGCTCAACGCGTGCACAGGCGCGCCGCCTATTCTCTCGCCATGAACGACATCAGCCCCGTACTGGCCAATCTGAGGGACACGCGCATAGCGATGCCAGGCGTCGCCGCGAACGACAATAAAATCGTTAGCATTCGATCCGTGGATAACAACGTGCAGATATTGCCGACCAAGACCAAGCCGAAGAAGCTCGTTTTCCACGGGTCCGACGGACACGTTTACACGTACCTGTTCAAAGGACTGGAAGACCTTCACCTGGACGAAAGAATCATGCAGTTTCTGAGCATATGTAACACAATGATGTCGAAGAAGGGCGACTCGAAACAGGTCTACAGAGCTCGGCATTACTCGGTTATACCTTTAGGTCCGCGATCCGGCCTGATACAGTGGGTCGACGGCGTTACTCCGTTGTTTGTCCTTTACAAGAGGTGGCAACAGCGAGAGAACGCTATGACCAATAAAATCGGGAGTACCGCAATTTTACGACCATCCGAACTCTTTTACAACAAGCTGACGCCGCTCTTGAAAGAACGAGGTATCGGTTTGGAAAACAGAAAGGAATGGCCGGCTCAGATTTTGAAACAGGTTTTGGCCGAGTTGATGGCTGAAACACCAAAGGATCTCTTGGCAAAGTTAGTTTTCATCCTCCTCCTCCTCCTCCTCCTCCTCCTACTTCTCGTGCTCCTCCTCTCCCTCCCGCTCCTCCTCCTCCTACAGCCTATTTACGTTCGTTACTCACACGTTTCTCTTTATCGATCTTTGTTCTTGTAGAGAGATTTGGTGCAACAGTATAAACGCTGGAAACTGGTGGCAAGCAACAAAAAATTACTCCTATTCGGTTGCCGTGATGTCGATTATCGGCTACATCATTGGTCTCGGCGACAGACACTTGGACAATGTTCTGGTAGATTTGAACACGGGCGAAGTGGTGCATATCGATTACAACGTGTGCTTCGAGAAAGGCAAAACGTTGCGCGTGCCCGAAAAGGTGCCTTTCAGAATGACTCCGAACATCAAGACAGCATTGGGTGTAACCGGTGTCGAGGTACGATTGCCCGTCCATTGTTCCGGCCATTATTATTATTATTATTATTATTATTATTATTATTATTATTATTATTATTATTATTATTATTATTATTATTACTCGCCAGTTCAGTTTCCAACAGTGACGTCCGTCTTTTCCAGGGTATATTTCGCTTAGCCTGTGAACATACTCTTCGCGTGATGCGCCGAGGTCGCGAGACGCTGCTCACTTTACTCGAAGCATTCGTGTACGATCCGTTGGTGGATTGGCGAGCTGGCGCGGACAACAGCATCGCGAGTTACGGAGCGTGTCAAGCCAGAGCCAGATGCACGGGTATAGGAAGAAAACAATTGGAGCAAGAATTGACGCGAGCAATGTTCGCCGTTCGAACGGCGGAGATGCGCGCCGAATGGTTGGCAAACAGGTTCGGCGTTACTTTTACTCTTTTCTCGACACCGTTCAAACCTCTCGACCATCGCAGGCTTAGGCGGGCATTTTTCCGTTTACAGGGATGAACTGATCAAAGTATTTCCATCGTTGTGTCACCGCTTAAACTGTTGGATAGACGCGAGTCAAGTGACTCGTCAGTGCCAAGAGCTGTTGCAAGACAGACATCAGCAGCTTGCACTGGTGAAGGAAGCGCAAGCGATGGGGCGCAATCATCCGTTGTACTCGGTGACGAAGCGTTACAACTCTTTCAAGAGAGCACGCGACACGCACGAGAAGGCAAAGGCCGCGTTGAAGGAGAAAATAGAGGATTGCGAGAAGCAAATTAACATGCATAACGTAAGAATACTTTTCGAAATATACAAACAGAATTCATCTCTTCTCTCTTCTCTCGCAGAATTCATTCGAACGAACGCATTCGATCGTTTCAGCTGGCGCTTTCGGCGGTAAGAGGTACTCAATTGGGCCAGTGGTTATCGGAATTGGGAACGTCCGCGAGTTCGGAGGAGCACGTCGTGTTCGACTTGGTGAAAGAATTCCTACAGAACGCCGGCCAGAGTCAAATGATCGTTCAGTGCGAACAATCGGAAAACGAGCTGACTCAATTGGCGACGCAACAATCGATCCTGATAAGAAGCTCCTTGGATCTTCTGAGTCAGTACTCTGCGATTTGTAATCTGTACCCGTTGAGCAGCATGTCGCAGCATCGTACGGTACTTTATCACGGTTGGGCCAACAAGCTGTTGAACTCGGGGAACGTCGACGCGTGCCGCGAAGTGATGGGGCAGTTCGAGGCCACCTTCGATCCGATCAAGAGCACAAACAGTCAGCACGTCCAACAGATACTCACCTTCTCGTATCAGATGCAAGGGATTCTGAACGAAGCGAACGAGAGGCTGAAGAAAGCGGACGAGAGAATGGTTTCGGAAGGATTGCCGGAATCCCTTGGCAGAATAGAGAAGGCGTACGCGGAGTCGAGAGTGCAGATACAGGGATTTCTACGGCGGGAGAAGGGAGGAGAACGGGCTCTCGAGTGCGTCAACATAACCGCTCTGTGCGCTCTGAACAAGCGCTACTTGATGATGGAGGGCGCCGCAAAGTGTGCCGGCGACTGTCTCGTCGATCTCACCTCCAGAGAAGGAGATTGGTTCTTGGACGAGATGCGGCTGATGTCATCGTTGATCGCCGAATTGGTCACCTTGATACCTGAATGTCACAAAGCGAACAACGATCCCAAGATATCGTTGGTGCTGAAATGCTTGAGAGGGTCCGATTACATTTACAAAGGGCTGCAGGAACTCAATTACAATTTTCATACAATCATACTGCCGGAAGCGATGAAAACCATCATAACGGAAGAACCGACTGTCATTCGAATGATCGGCGAACTAACCGAGATTATTGTCTCGCCCGGGATACCGCTCGGCGACATTCTCGCGCAACTCGAGGTGCACTTGCGCTTCACCGTCATGGAAATGGAGAGCCCTCACGCCATGATACAAACCGTCGTGAACAACATGAGGTTGCGGTTCGAAGCGTTGCTGTCCCGAACGGCCGAAATCCAGGAACCGAATCAAGATGAAACGCTGACGCCCGGCCAGATGCTGCTGATGGGTTTCAACGGACTGTTCGAGAAACTGCAGATGGAAGGTAACGCGTTGATCGGTACCTTGAGCGCGCTCGATATTCCTGCCGGCTGGAGGAAAATCGATCAGATTCGGGAAGCAAAGGAAATGTCCGCGCCCATCTTCAACAAGGCGGCCTGTCAAGTCCTCGAAGACATATTTCTGGTGAAACGGCTGCACACCATTCAAGAGTTCTTCATGATGTGCAGAGACATCGCGACCGCGTTCAAAGGCGGCCTGGCGAATCTCTACGACGACGAGAGATTGAACAAGCCGATCCGAATCTTCACGGCGGATTACGTGTCGCGGCAGTTGCTCGGCGTCACTTCCCAGACACTGGCGATCGCGCTCTGCCTCTTGCTGCAAAGAATGGGACTAAGCGTCATCACCGAAATCGAACAGAGAGACATCGGTGCCGAGAGTAAGGTCTCTTTGGAAGAATTGTGCAGGAAGGTTGTCGATCTCTGCCTGAAGAGGGGTTCGTTCTCGGGTTCGGTTCTCGCGCAAGCTAGCGCGCTCAGCAGTACCCTCGAGAGCGCTTGGCGCAGAAAACAGACGGCCCGCCTGACCCAGCAGTGCGTCGAGGTGGCCAGAGCCAGTATGCAGAGACTTCAGCTGCAACTAACGGCTCACCATTGGTTGCACGAAGACAGCTTGCTCCTTAGATCTAATCTGAATCTGATGAATCCCTTGAGTAAGTCGAGATTCGTTTATATTCGTTTATATTCACTTTATATATTCCTGCGGTTCTCGCTTTACCGATCTCCTCTCGCGCAATTGTTTTTCAGATCGCTCCGCGTTTATGCTGGAACTACGCAAGACAGCTGCAGGCCTGGCCGCGCTACAATCTCGCGTGTGCGAAGCACGGGATCAGCAACAAAATCTTGTATCCAGCGCGGTGCAGCGTTTGAAATGGGCCGCAGGAGCAAATCCGGCCCTCGGAGAAGTAATGTCAGCGTTCGACAACGCCGTGCTTTCTTCCTGTGAAAAATTGACCCGACAACACAGTCTCGCGACTAGCGTTGTCAACACCTGCAACTCCATATTGCATTACGAGGCCTTGAGAACGAGGACGTCCGAGAGCGTAACGCACGACACCAACTTCGTGAAACTGGTGAAACATTGGGAAGAGAGTTGCATCCTGACCATGAGCTTGACAATTACCGTCACCGCGATCGAGGAGAGCCTAGTCGAATTGCTACCGATGGAGAATAACGTTGACATCAACTGGTTAAAGCAGGCGGAAAGGTTCATTTCCGAGGCGATCCTCGACGTACAGAAAAAATTGCAGGAAAAGCAAGAATGCTTGCTCGCCTCGCGGGACCGCTTACGGGAACAAGTGTTAAATTTGCAAACTGTCTTAACCGAGCATCATAGGTTGATGTCCGACGTTCGAATTTTGCTGCGAACCATGGCCAAGCAAGAAAACATTACTGGCCTCCAGGAGTTTCTTGCTTCGTACCGATCTTTCACCGAAAACATATCTGCGATCGTGAAAGAACTGGAATCCGACTGCCTCGACGCCAACAGAAGCAGAACGATCAAACAACAGTTGGAGAGCATGGCGATCGTGGTGCCGAATTTATACATCGAGTTGTTGGAATTTGCCAACGAGAAGAAACCGAACCTCGCCAAGCTGTTCGATAAACAGAAAGATACGGAGAAGAGCAGAGGGGCGAAGGAGAGGGGTCGAGAAAGGGAGAAGAAGGGGGGCAGCAGCGGTGCGGTTGCGGTAACGGCGAAGAAGAAGAAGAAATCCACTAGGCAGGAAGGTGTGTGCTACAGCCCTAAGAAGGGAGTACAGTTGGCCAGGGATCCAACCACGGGTAAAGGTAAGGACGAACATTTCTCGCGTTTCGCTTTCCAACATTCAGACTTCTCTGATGCTTTACGCTTTACGCACAGCTGTCCAGGAGCGGAACGCGTACGCGCTGAACGTCTGGCGTCGTATTCGAATGAAGTTGGAAGGCCGGGATCCGCACCCATCGCGCAAATACACGACGGCCGAGCAAGTGGAATACGTGATACGCGAGGCTCAGAGCACCGACAATTTGGCCCTCTTGTACGAGGGTTGGACACCGTGGGTCTGAACGGAAGATGGTTGACGCGGTCGCGTCGATGGTTCAATGCTCGTTACACACGGTACTAGAGTTTGTGCCGTTCTGCGTTCCACGCTCTACGCTCTACGATGGAGCCAGCTCTCTGCCGACCAGGTGTGAAGTACCTTCATCGTCACATGGAAGAGGGAGTTCACTACGCCCGTGAGAATGCCGTTCGAATGCCGTTCGAATTCGGCAACGCGCTTCTACATACAAGGAATAATCTGCGCGATACGTGATCAGCGATCCACGATCCGTGATCCGAGATCGGCAATCTATGATTCGCGATCCGTCATCCAATTTTGATTCTGGCACCGATTCTATGATTGTCTCAAATACCTTTGGTCAATACCGCACTCGTCGTCTATTCTATGGAGGTCTGTCTGTTTATTTGTTTCTGCCCGACATTACTATACCCGTCTGTCTGCCTACCCATCTGTCCATCTGTCCGCCCGCTTACTTGCCTGCTTTCCTGTTTCCCTGCTTACCTGTCTACCAAACGACTTTCTCTATCCATCTATTTTTCCATCCGTCTGTCCATTTGCACATCTACCCGGTTCTTTTCTTTCCTATCTACCCGTCAGTCACCTATCCTTCCAAACACCTTCGCGTCCACGTACCCTGTGTGTATCTATACACCCATGTACCCTGCCTGCCTATTTTCTTCGACCTTCCCGTTCCAGTCAATTTCGGTTAACGATAGACAGCCGAGTAATATTTCTGATAGAAAGGTAATTACACGGGGTAAACAGTGTATCGATTCTAATACATGAAAGTCGATCGAAAAGAGTTTACGTCCCTTGAAATTTCTATTTACACGCACAATGACGCGACATTTGGGAAAAGCATAGAATCTGTTGCTAATCTTGGGAATAAAATAGGACAACGACTGCAAGTTCAGTCGAGGATGCGGAGAAACTCGATGACGATTAATGCGTCGATGGCTATGACGCTCGAGACTTTAAAGAAACATCTGTGACGTACTGTCTACCACTCCCGTGATTCGTTTCAAGTCAAACGACCCGTCTCTGAACTTCAAATTCATTTCATTTTCAAACTTATCCATCAAATTTCCTCTATGTTACAGCAAACGTATCGATCGGTTGGTCGAATCTTACGACCGTTCATTTTTAGACCATGTACAAAGGATGAGTGTGTGCACAGCTACCGTTGGCGAGGAATTCTGATTTTAAATCAACTTCCAAGTTTTCAGCGGGACCAGTCCGATATACCGTTGAATAGTCCTGCGCGAAACAGCCGTACTACTCGTTTTCAAAACGCTGAACCACAGAAACGATAGTATTCCTATAATTCGATGTTATTCCCATTTTATCCATACAATTTGATGCTTTACTATTATCGTTGAAATTCTAACGTAACAAGACGCGCAATTGCGTTCCGTTCCGTTCAAAAACAATGTTACCTCTCATACGAGTAATTGATGTATCTTTCTTGGAACAAATGCATTGATTTGATAAATTCCTATAGTTTTCTATACGCGGTGAATCTCCACATTGCGAAATAACAGGCCCAAGTAAAATCGTTTGATTACAGTTTTGCGTGGGCAGCATTCGAGTGTCCAGCTTCGAGAAACATTTTTACTTTTCTAGTCGCCAGAAACCATTTGTGACCGGCTCTTGAAAACAACATTACATTTGTTCCACGGAGAGTATACCTTACTCGCGGTACTTTCGGGTTGAACAAAATTCAAAGCGTAAACATTTCTTTACGTGATACGTATTCGCATTTGGTAAAGACTTTTTCCTCTATTTACACTAATAGTATACATCGATTATTAATATTTATATTTACATGTACATGTACACATTTACATTTACATTTACATTTACATTTACATTTACATTTACATTTTCATTTTCATTTTCATTTACATTTACATTTCTATTTATATTTACATTTATATTTATATTGCTGCATCCTTACGGAAACAGTCGTAATAATCGATCGCCGATCCATGATTGCTCTTCTCAAAGAAAGAATCACCGAAAGAGAAAAACAACTATGATGCTGTTACAGATATTCGATCAAAAGAAATTTGTTTTCTTGTTTGTCTCTCATTAAGGATAAAAAATACCAATTATAAAAAGCAATTATCATAATGCTCAACCATTTCGCATTTCCCTTCCCCCTTTGCCTGTGTTTCATTTACCTTTTTCGTTGCGGGGAACAGGAGCAGAGATAAGGTCACACTTTGTAACCAATAAAATTTACAATACATATATATAAAAAATAATAGAAGAGATATATTTCATTCGACTGAATTACAGTTTGTAAAATATTTTTACCTGCAACTCATTTTCGTCCAACTTCTTTTTAGTACAACGTATACCGCTCCTATAATTTTCTGTACTTGTAGACTGTTCATTTCATTCTCCTTTTCTGTTCCTTCTCTCGAGAAATGTTTAACCGTTTCGAGAAATCACTTCGCTTCTCTCTCACCGTTCCCAGCGTAATTTCGATACATCTTTTAAACAAACTACACGGTAGTAATATTTATGTATGCGACGGTTATAACGGATCCGGAAAGAATTTCAGTCCTTCGATTAGTTCTTCTAATTGTGTATGGCTACAAAGAAAGGTCCAACTTTCAGTGAACGTAAATTTTTTAATAAATTACATTGCAATTCAACTGTATATTACAATATTGTAAATTTTCATCGTTATATTACACTTTGTATCACAACGTTTGTTTCTCGCGTGTCTCTCATCGAACACACTCGTTGCACCCCTTCTCTCAAAAGTATTCGCGGTAAATAACCAAAGCATTCGCGTCAAAGGTACGCGAAACGCAATAATAATGAAAGACTATGAATCCCGGTTGTTTAGCAAATGTTGCAAAACTATAAATCTTATCCTTTCCAACGAATCCCGGTATAGTTGTGATCATTGTAACAACCCAAGTATGCGACAACACACCATATTAGAATAAACTGCGGCGATATACGTATGTGTATCGTTGAAATTCAATTTGCTCGTTACGAATAACTTCAGGTGTTTTCTTTCATCAGTTGATCGATCTGAGTTTTGTAAACATCTTTCACATCTTGAAGATCTAAACGCAACTCCTCGTTTTCCTCCATTTTCTCACCGCACATTTGCAACAATGCGTCGTATCGCGTCTGTATGTCTTGCAGATTCTCGTTTAAAACTGTAACGTGCGCAACCTTGTTATTCAATTCCTCGACCGTCAAGGTCAACGTAGACAATTCGGCATTAAGCGCATCTCTTTCTACATTTCGCCGTGACAATTCCCACTGAAGTTGTTGTATTTCACCTGGAAAGATCAGAATAGATACAAACGAGCAGTAACGCGAGTACTGCGACGACACGTCGGGGTAAGTAACGTTGGTAAACCTACCATCTTTCTGTTTCAACTGTGCTTGCAGGTTTTCAAATATAGACGTGCTACTCGAGCCTGTTCTAAAGCTGTCGTACATCATCGCGTATCTTTCGGTGTTGTCGTCGTCGACAGCGCCAGAATCGCACAGCTGAAATTTTAATGATTGCAGAGTCCGACTCGATGGAATCTTACAGATTATACGATCGATCGCGTCTCAACTGCTATTCGAAATTTTACTCGCTCGTTATTCGTGTATTACCGGCCAAATGGTATCCATCGCGTTTGAAGAAACTTGACTGGTGGTTTCGGCGATCGGAGAATTCCGAGGTTCGTTACGATCAATGTTTCGCCTTTGTTCCGACATCGTGTGATTCTTCCTTTTCTCCGCATCCGTGGCTGTCTTTTCCACGGCCAATCGGTTTTCTAACGCCACAATCTCCCTGTTCAGCTCCATTATTTGCGAAGAATGCGACTGTTCGTGCGTCTCCATCGTTCGTCGATACCTACGGAACAAGTATGGCTCGATAGAAAACGATTTAATAAAAGGGTTTGATTCGAACGTTTCCATACCGGGCTGTTTCTTCCGTCAGTCTCTCCTTCTCTATCGTTAATCCATCGCAAGATTCTTCCAGTCGCTGTATCTCGATCTCTTTAGCAGCAAGCTTCGATTCCAACTGAGATAATTTCAAGTTGAAATTGACGGTTTCTTCCTTCAAGTAGCGATTCGCCTCTGTCAAGTGTTCCACCTTTGTCTGCAACTCGATATTCTTTTCCGACAACGCTTTCTCTTGCTTCATAAAACTGCTACACTTGTGCGACAGATTCGCGTGAAGCTGTTCCAATTGTCTCACCAGAGGTTTCGTGGCTGTCGATACCGACTCCGAGAGTTCTTCGCTTCTGGCCTCAGCCGCTTCTAAACGTTTCAACAACTCGTTGTTTTCATGTTTGTAAAACTCCTCTTTCCTATACGGGGAACAATGTAAAAACAATTAGTAGAGGAGCGCGATACAGCCTGCTCGACTGAACATGTTCTTTCGTTTACAATGCTAGATGTACATGTGTCTAGTGTACGTGTGCTATTTCTAGATATATTTACTTATAGTTGATTTACTTAGCGTGCATTTCCTTGGATTCCCGTAATTTTATTTTCAACTCTTCCACTTGCGCGAGAAGCTGACACGATTCCCCAGCGTTACTCGAGGCATCTTTCAGTTCCGCTTCCGTTGCTTGCAACAGTTTCTTCGTTTCAGTTAGATCCCTGAAATGCAATGTTAACGTTAATCATCCGAGGGGAATTACATTCGCATTTGTCACTAACATTTTCGTCGCGTCCAAACTTTTCTTGTAAGCGTCCATCTTGTGTAGAGCGGTATCCAATTTATCTTGTAAAGCTAAAATCTCTTTTTCTTGTTTCCTCGTTTTCGCTGTCAACGTATGGACAGCCTCTATTTGAGTTCTTTCGACTTCTTCTTTCGCGTGCAACGACTTCTTCAAACGTTCCAGTTCCAATGTTTGCTCTTCTACCAATATTCTGCGAACATTCGACATTCATACGTATTATTGTTACATTGCATTACCATGTCTATACACATACCCAACGCGACGTGTCAATTGGTTTACATACTTTTGACTTTTTATCAAAGCATCATTTTCTTTTTCCTTGACTCGCAACTTTTTAATAATGTTACTGTGCTGAAGCTGTTGTTTGCTCAGTTTTTCGCCTTCCTCCCTTAATTCTCTAATGATCACGTCCTTCTCGGCGCTTATCGTGTACATCTCTTGAGACGATAAGCGCGTAGCAGCTTCCACTTTCAACTGTTCCAACTGTTTCCGTAACGAATCTCGTTCTCGTATGGCTTGTTGAAACTTTCTTTCCAACGCGGACAATCGTTGGGTGTAATCGTCGGCGATTTGATTCAAGTTTTGACTTTGCTCCGCGTATCTCTCAAAGTTGTCCAGCTGCCTATAGAAACGATAACGATAAATATCATTCGTGAGAAACTAGCCCGGGCCAGACTAGAAACGCGTGCGCGTGCACACTCGCGAGAACCATACTTTTTAAAATGACTATTCTGTTCTTGCAATTCCATGTTCATTCTACTAACGTCGATAAGCTTCGATTCTCGTGCCTCTAATATTTCCGTCATCTCTTGTATGCGTCTCAGCAACGTTTCTATCTCGAGATTCGCTTCGTCCGAACCCACGCTAATTTCGCTCAACTCTCTGGAATGTCCTCTGGATTTTAAAGTTTTGGTCAAGAGATCGCTACCCTTCGCCGACTGCGACCTCATCACGCTCTGGCGTGACTGCGTCGAGCTTGAATCGCCGTTCGGACTTCTCGAACAAACAAATTTATACTCTTTTTATCGAATTTCAACGCCGACATCGCGCACAGAGAAAATCAATACGTGTAAGATCGATTTAGAAGTATTGGAATCATACCTATACCTGGATATGATTTCGATATCACTGGAAGTTGTTGTTTCCAACTCGTCCCCACTCGTGTGACCGCTAGTTTGATCCGAGCCAATTTTCACCAAGTCGGACCGACTGTAAACACACAATTCAGACGAATCGATCAACCGATCAATCTCTTTGCTAAAATTCTTCTCGTATCAATCGATAAAATACCTTTCCGAAGAAATGGGCGAATTTTCTCGTGGCATATCTGTACCCTGCCCCTCCATCTCCACAATTTCACCGACCTTTTCGATCATTGCATCTGCCAACATTGTTTTTACGTAAGAGCTAGCCGTCAAAGGTGGTTCCACCATTTTTCCTTCCGACTTATGAGTCATCGAGGAATTATCTTCCGAATTGCTTTCCACCAAGGTCCCTTCGCAACTCGAATCCGTCGATATTAAATGATGATCCACGATATTCATCGTGTCGGACTTGAATGGATGCGGCAACGTAACTTGTTCGACAGTGGAGTAACGTTCGGGAGGTAGCGATATCGATATTGGTATCGGTATGTGCGTGGGTTCCGATTCCGAGTCCGATTCCGGTTCCGGTACCCGTTCCTGTTTCTGTTTCTGTTTCTGTTTCTGTTTCTGTTTCTGTTTCTGTTTCTGTTCCAGTTCCAGTTCCAGTTCCAGTTCCAGTTTCCGCTCTTGTTCCTGTTCCTGTTCTCGTTCCTGTTCCTGTCCCTGTCCCTGTTCCGGTTCTGCTGGTTCTATAGTGGTATTTATTAGCGAGTCGATATTTTTTCTCTCCGTTTCGATCCCTTTACCAGCACCATCAATGTATTCGGTCGATTTACGAAAAGGTTGGATCGTGATTACTTCAACTGGCAGATGTAAACTCGATTTCTCTTTAACAGTTTGATCCAAACAAGAGTCGTTCATTTTTCCACTGAAAGGCACGCTTGCGGGAATTTCTATCTCAATTTTACTCTGATCGGTGTTTTGTTGAACCGTTTCGAATACGGTTGCAACGGTACTCTCCGAGGCAGAAGCATAAGAGTCCTCGGCTAAACTCGTTTCATCCGGTTCATCCGGATAAGCCGACCTTTCTACATTTTCCAGTGGACAAATCTTCGAGTGTTGTTCAACGGAAAACGTCGAAAATTTGCTTATGCCATGTGTCCCCGATTCTCCGAAACATGCATTTATCGAGAGTGCATTCTCCATGCTACTCGCACCGAAATCGTTACGAGGCGTTTTGGCTTCTTCCACGGGAGATTCGTACGGAGAAACATCGGAAGACGATGGATGCCTGTAGCTTTCGTTCCTGATAGAAAACTGTTCTATACGACTATTTTCCCAACAAGGTGTCACAGAGTCTTCTCTGTCCAACGCGGAACACGTTTCGCTACGCAACGGATCTGTCGGAGATAAATACGGACTACTATCGCTTTTCCAATCTCCCAAAATTTCCACAGAACTTGGGGAAGTAACCAAACTGTCTGGCAATATTTCCACGGATTCTGAATTTAGTTTAGCATCCGTACCAGATGGACTTGCCGAATTACTAATGGAATTGCTGACCGACTCCGGAGTAGTAGTACAATCCGTGTTTGATTGAGAACCTAGAATTTCCACACTTTCCAGACTCTTTTTATCATTTTCCGTCGATACTAATGACATTCCATTCGTGTCATCATCGTAGATTAGCGATTCCTGTTGACACACGTTTTTTTGCCCACTTTCCAGGCTGTTTTTATTATCCGTAACAACGCCATTTTCTTCTAACGAACATCTCGCGGACCCTGACGTTACTGGACCTCTACCCGTCGCGCATTCCTTAATTTTATCATCCATATTGGACATTGCGTCTTTTATCGTGTTCGTATTTAGTCGACTGGAATGCTTAGACACAGGGGTAACAGTCCCTTTCTCTGCACAGTTCTCGTCCACATGTTTCAAGTCTTTGAACAGATTTTGTTGTTTGTTCATATAAACCTCCGAAAAGGATAGCGAAGATGTTAGTTTGTTCGTTTCTTGTCTATTTCCAATTAATGTATTTTGCATAGATTTGGATTCGGAAATTCGTTTCTGGTCGTATCCTACTTCTTTATATTTCGGAGACTCGAAGAAAGATCCAGTAAAACTACCCCATATACTGCTGCTCGCTTCTTGTTTAGACTCTTTATTCTTGTCGTGTATAATCGTACCTTCATCGCTTTTTAATCCCCATGATGCAAAAAAGTCAGAGGTGTCGTTCGAGCAATGTTCCGCCAATTTTTGCTCCTCTTCTTCTTCTTCTTTGATATCCAATGCTTTGTCAATTGTTTTCTGAGCTTCTTTCAAAGCAGATTTGGCCAAATTGGCAAATCCAGTGGCATCAAACCAGCTCATTCTTCGATATGTCTAAAACTGAATGAGAAACGTTCAACCGTATAATGAAAGAAACAATAAACTAATTTAGTGAAATAACAATTTTAGTAACTTACGTTGCATATTAATGTATCAACGGTAAAGAAGAAAGCGTCTTTGAAGAACGCGAAATGTACGTTGCTTAAAGGTTAGAATAAGATGATATTATACTTGTGTTTCATACGATTTTACGTTACTTTACACAATCTTCCAAAGATCGTGAATCCAGAGAATGGTTTGCGAGAAAGCTAGAAAAAAAAGGTGAGCTGGATAAAGTAATGGGAATGACATTTGTCGCATTTTCGTGTCACACATTGCCAACCTCGACAAGCAGTCGAAAGATACTATTACTCGCAGTTAATTTCTTCTGTACACACAACACAAACACACACACACACACACACACGCGCGCGCATACGTGCCTATACATGTACATATGTACGTATTTACTGTATTTAATTTGTTACATTTGATCAATTTATCAACGAACAGATGAACAGCGTCTTCATAGGTAAAGTGGGTACATACGTTCGGTTGACACATATGCATTGCACGCGTACACATCTTCTTATGTGTTTACGTATGCGAATATAAAAAGATGCAATATCATGTTTAACGTTTGGTACGTCGATGTTTCTTTATATTCGAAAAGTTGTAAGAACACAAGGATACGGACAATTGCATTAAAAATCTGTTTAAACGATCGATTCTATGTCACATCCTAATACTACGCGAAAGTCATCCTAGGCACATACTACGTAGCAAGATATTACGTAAATGTTAAGTTGTACATTATGAATTACAAATGACAGGAATTTTATCATTGAACGAACCAGTTCAATACGCGCGAAAATAAAAGAAACCATGCGACTCGCGATTGACGATCGCAATGGTTATGATGTCAATGACGCAACGTTTCATTCGGCTTTACCACCTCTAATTCGTGTTACATGTACGCATGTAACTTGTAGAATTTACGACATTTCTTCCGCTTTTACACGGTTCAATAATAGACTACACCTTGGCAATAAAACGGTACAACATACAAGTACGTACGCATAAAATAATAGTGTACCCAACCATTTCAATCGACGATTGATCGCACAACCCGTACCATTGAATCTGAAATGTTTGCTGCGCTGGCAGAAATAATGTATTATTGTCGTCGAGGCGGCATGTAATATTTCACGAAAATGACGAGCTTTTTCAATTCGATATCTACGTTACAGAAAAACATTATTAGTGGGGTTGTTATCAACAGCTCCAGTGGCGCAATTGGTTAGCGCACGGTACTTATAAGACAGTGACTAGTGAGCAATGCCGGGGTTGTGAGTTCGAGCCTCACCTGGAGCAATTTTTTTCTTCGGATGCATATTATTTTTTCGCATCGTCTTTGCTGCAGATTTTCACGATAGAATTATTTTACTGCTGTTAGCAGTGATTATTAATAGTAAATAACTGATACGACTGAATTCGTATCTACCGGAGACACTGGAATAACGAATTTCGGGAATATGTCGTAGCGAGACGGTTAACGGTGAATCGAAGGGAACAAGGGAACTCACAAGATACGTAATTGCATAAAACATATTTGTATTTCATTTCATTTCGTGGCAATTCACAGTGTTTTATTATGCTCTGTTTCACGAAAGTCGAATCGGCATGTACCATGCATTGAACTCGGAGCAAAGTTTAAGGCCAAACGTGAATAAAGTGACAGATGCTATCGTGCTTCGAATAAACGAATCTTGTTTCAATGCATGGATAATGCAAGAAAGGGAACAAGTGCAAACATCGTCGAAGTAACGCGTGCCCTTATTCAGCAAGTATGCGTCTACGATGCTCTGCCTTTCCTCGAGTTTGCGTACGCTGTTTTCTACACGAATCACATTTAAGCTAAGATTTCAATGTTGCGATCAATGGAAACGATATGGATTATTTCTGAATAAATATACTTGCTTCGCGAGATACACCGCGGACAGGTTAATTCGCATTCGTTTCGAGGACGAACGATACCGGATCTTCCGCCCGTAATTTCCATTCTATCAAATTTATCGCGCACCGACTCGTCTGCAGATTTAGTTGTTCCTTTAGCGATATCGATTTCAGGCATTATTCCATCGGTCTCTACTTCAAGCAATCGCCGTTGTAAATCTCTCCTTTCCAATCCAATCGACTCGAAAGGATTCTACGAGGATAAGTTTTTCAACTCTGACCACCCTCCTTACCGTCCTTTCGAGGCCGTCGGCCGTCGCCTCCTGTAGCATTCACGTCGGAGAATCGTCGAGAAGAGCCTGTTTTCCCGGTAGAACGAACCGACGAATCATCCTTCTCTGTACCACTTGACTTCGATACTGACGACAAATCGAACTCACCCAATCCACGCTTCGTTAAATACTTGTTTACGATTCAACTAAAGTATCCTACCTTTGCCAGAGACCACGGTTTCCGTCTCGTTACCGTTTCTCCGATTCGAATCTAACCTTGTTTCAAACGTTTCATCGACGGTTCTTTGTTCTCGGTGATCGCGATCCTGGTCCGCTGTTGCGCGAACTAGAACTCTTGGCGAGGGTTGTTCTCTCTGGACCCACGGTGCTCGAGAGGCTGTAATTATCTCTCAAAGTATCATAGATATGCACGCACAATGCCGTTCGCGTGTGGAAATCGTTGAAAACAGCTACGAAACATAGGTGGATTCTTTTTCAAAAACTGACTGACCTCTTTTTCTCAATTCGGCTATTACTATCGGACAACGAACGACGCAGGAAGGCATTTGGAAGGAAATCAGCTCGGAAGAAGGAGCGAATCGATCGACTATGGAATTATCTGATTTCACTGTTCGAAAAAGGTTCGCCTTCCATTATCAAATTTTCGGTCGAACAATGTATTCATCGTGTCGTTGACTGTTCGATAACTCGTTGTCTCGGAACTGACAATCGATATACGATTTTCGGGCAGTCAATTATCCCATAAAATTTCAATTCTCAACACGAAAACTGAAATTACACGTATAATTCCACTCTAGAGTGAAGCACGTTACCAAAAGAAAATTCAAGTCGACCGAGTGTTATATTCGAGATTGATCGTTCACACGATGACGCCGTTGCACGATCATCAAGAATCGTCGTCGATCTATATTGATCAAAGGATTCTTCCATTGTTGTTACCCGCGTTGGAGGAAATTCTTCTCGTAGCCGACAAGAGGAACTCGCTTCTGGTATGAAAGAATTTATTTCTAACTTGATTCACGCGATACACGCCGACGCGTGACAAATCAGAGGAAATCCTAGATACAAAAGGCTCCGGTCGACGTTCTCGGTAATCTGCCAGAAATCATATGGAATTGGAATCCGCGACGATCGAACATCATTTCTTCGTCGCAATCGAACATGTTTGCTATTCCGCGGTTTCAGCAGTGGTTATCTCTGCGGTGGGCAAACCAACGACACCTAACGCAGACGTATGTTTACATGGACATGCACGGTATGACTCTATTACTCGCAGGTCACAATCTCCAAAGCCGTGGCTATGGTCCAAGACCGCGGCTGCACAGTGCCTTCAGAGATACGTGCGTGGTTGGCTTGTACGAAAACGCGTCGACGTTCAAGAATTGAGGCAATTTTGGAAGGCTAGTAAACGTATTCGGATTCCCCTATCGATTCTTTTTCCAATTCTGATCCTAAACCATGGAACAAGTACCTTCCATGCTGTTTTATTTTTATTCATCGTTTAAAATACAATAACAACAATGATTTTACTTCCGTTACACACTGTGTTTCGTTACACTATGTATAGCTGACCAATTTACGCATCGTACATTAGAATCTTGCAGAGAAAGAATCGTTTACCGGACAAATTGAAAATCACACCATTTTACAACATTCGACTGGCATTTTAGGTAAATATTTACTGCTCAATTTTCTCATTCGTAATTTAAGCACGTTGTCATTGGACATTTAACAGAATACTCGTAGGCAAACCATGGATCACTGATTATTACAAGACGTACGATGCCAATTTCCTTCGCTGCGAGACGTATCGTCAAATGATTGTAGTGAACAGAACGAATGCTCTGAAAGTAAAGGATAGCATTTCCTCGTAGAGCGCTTTGAAAATTCATGTAAATTCACAACTGATTCGTTTGTTCATCGCCAGTGGTGATATATAAAGTAGGCTGTGCGGTTTTCTGGAAATCTATCGTAGGAGTCTCTTGTTCTTCCGCGATTCTTTGGTTCTTCAGACCATTGAAATTATATCGAGCTTGTAGCTTTATATCTTCCGTTATCTCCTGCCCTGTCCGTTTTCTCTGACGAATTAAAATTTCCTTCAGCAGAGGTGGAAATTCTATTTGGCGTGGCAAAATTTTTACAGGCTTTTCGCAAATTACATTCGTATAACGTGACTCCTGATCTTTCGGTATCAATACGTAATCTGATTTATAAGTTACAGCATCTAGTTGACTTGGTTTCGTGAACTTTTGACCTCGGAACGTTTTTTCTACGAGTGCTATCACTTTTCGCATGTTCTGCAATGAAGCGGAACTTGTCGATAAACTTTCTTTATGCGAATCTCTAATGTGAAATAAAATGAAAAATATATTTGCAAACTTACATCTGGATTACTTTCACCGATCATTGGTACTGCGGCTACTTTTAATATTCTCATGTAACTGGGTTCAGGGTATTCTTGAAATTTGCTTCGCACAACCATTCGACCTACTCCGTAATTCTTCAAGTTTCCCAAAATCTGCCATAATGTTTTCCCTTTAAAATCGGTTTTTCTGCCAATATATTTTACCGGCATATTCGTAAAATTGGTAGAAACGTTTGAAAACAAACAGCGTCAAAAATCTTTCGATGAACAAAAGATTTCAGAAATCTGCCGCCTAACCGTTTTTTCCTATTGTTCTAAATTTAAATGAAAAAGAACATGACGATATCTGGTTGCGAAGCGAAGAAACAACCGATTGGTAAAAATAATGCGATAAACGCAAGAAAACTGAACAACTTTTGATTAAATATAAACTACAATGTTAATCCTAATGGAATACACAGCATAAGATACATAGTACTACATAGTACTACATGGGACTCGGTGTCACATGTTCCGAGTTACCGATTGCGTAGAAAATTCAAGGGCTTGCTCTGCCCTCTAGGTCCAGAGAACGCTGAATAGGAAAACTAGGTAACGGTAATTTGGGGACTGACATTACATGGGTGAAACGCTTTTTTAGAAAATTTTGCAAACATTGTTTTTTATGGAAAATGAAGCCAAGTCGAAAATTTCAGCTCCGTCCCGTTTGTCAGATTTTCTGAACCTTCGGAATTTTCGGAACTTTCAACTTTTTCAGATTTACCGACTACAATCATTTCAGAATAATTCAATTCAACAGCAGTTGGTAAGGAAGGGATGTAGAAATCATCTCTTCGTTGAGTTAACAGCCGCAGTCACGCGTGCGTGATGTCGTAACACTCGCAGCTGCTTGCAGCCAGCATCACGCAAACCCGAGTTCGCTTCGTCGGCGTTAATCTATCGCTATTACGATAATACGTATTACTATGACAAAAGTTGAAATTATAGAAACGGTGTTTAAATGCATTGAAAGTTTAAAAACGAATGCAATGTAAGTTACTCTTTGTGATTTCGTAGAAAATTGTTTCGTTGCGAATGATTAATTGTCAATTTTTGGAGGTTTGTTCTGTAGAGGAATATGCATATGCAAAATAGCGAGCTATAAAAAAGAAACAATGAGAAAGACATCGATTAATGCATAATACATTTGTATTGCATACTTGAGTGCTGTAGAGAGAAAGAGAGAGAGAGCGAGAGAGAGAGAGAGAGAGAGAGAGAGAGAGAGAGAGAGAGAGAGAGAGAGAGAGAGAGAGAGAGAGAGA